GGGGGGGAGGGAGGCCACGTCTTGCACCCACCGTGCGCAGCGCCCGCATCCTGAGCCCACTGCTCTGACCTGGAGGTGGGGGGGCTCTGCACCCACCGCTCTGACCCACACAGAGCCCCGTGCCCGCTTTCCATACCCACCTTGCCATCCTGGGGCCCCCCTCGTGCCTTCAGGTCCCCGCACCCACCCGGCGCCCCCAACCCCCACCATGTTGACCGACACTCTTTCACTCCAGCAACCGGGTCGGGACGCATCCTGCACCCACCGTCCCATCGGGGTCCTGGTGCCGCCGTCCCACGTCCGTGCCCACATCCTTCCCCCCCGGCCCCGTTCCCCCCCCCCGTTCCGTCCCTCACCAGCAGCTCCTGGCGCCGTCCCCGCGTCGCTCCCGCACCCACCTGCCCCAGAGCTGCCTCTGCGCCCACATCCTGCACCCACCGTGCTGGGGGGGCTGTGAGCGCCGCGACGCTTTGGGGGCACTTACTTACTGCTGGGGGGGGTTGTCCCTGCCCCCCCCGCTTTCCCCACTCCGTGACCGGCCGTGCCGCTGGCGAGCATGGCGATGGATGCGATGGGATGGAGGGATGGAGGGGGGGGCGTGGGGTGGGGGTTTGTGTGTGGGGGGCACCTACCAGCGCTGCGGGTGGCAGTGTCCCTTTGGGGCTGGTGACGCCGGCGCTGCCTTTGGTGCTGTTGGTCTGGGGCTGCGGGGACGGATGTGGGGGGGTCAGCGATGGCTGCTTGAGGGGGGGTCTCCCCCTTTGTGACCCCCGCCCCCCACCCCTCGTCCCCTCACCTTGACGCCGTCAGCCTTCTTGTTGAGCAGGCTCTTAGCTGCTGCGGAGGAGAAAGCGGAGGGTCAGCGCTGTGACCCCCCATGGGGACAGGGCCACCGTCCCCTCCCGTCCCGGGGGGGCACCGGGGGGGCACAGCGGGGGCCGGGGGTTGGCTTACCTTGGAGAAATGCAGAGAGGAAAGCGAGAGAGAGAGAGAGAGAGAGAAGGGGGCGAGAGAGAGAGGAGGGGGGGGCGGGGGGAAAAAGGGGGAAAAGGGAAAAACAAAACAGAAAAACACAAAAATCGTCTCTGAGCACAGGCAGTGGCCCCGGACCCCGCAAACCGTGCAGGGGGGGCACCGGGACGTGGGGCGGCCGCCCCTCCTGGCCTGACCTATGTGGGGTGGGGGGGTGCACGGCACGGGGGGGACCGTGCTACTGTGTCCCCCCCTCCAGCGCCGGTGTCACCTGTGGGCGTCCTCAGCTCCGTCCTCACCGGGCGGTGTCGGGGATGGCAGCGCCGGGGTGGGGGGGGTGGTCAGTGCGGGACCCATTTGGCGGGTGGGTGGGGGGACGGGGAAGGGCGGGGGGGGACACGGGGACACCCACGTGGCACAGCCGTGTCCCCGGGGTGCGGGCCCTCCTCGGGAAGCGGGCTGGGGGCTGCGGCGCTGGGGTTCGGGGTCTAAACCAGAGCCATCGGGGGGGTCCCCGGGGGGGGCTCGCTGGCTGTGGGGGGGTTTAAGACCCGCCGAGTGTTTCGCGGCACCACAAACACCGGCTGCAGCGCAACGGGGCCGTGCGGGCATACTGCAGCGCAGCCCCCAGAGGGGAATGCAGCCCCGCATGCGGCAGTGCAGCCCCCTCCCATGTGCTTGCAAGAAGCCCCTCCCCCCCATGCAGCGACACCGCTTCCCCCATGCACGGGTGCAGCCCCCATGCAGCAGTGCAGCCCCCCCTGCAGCAGAGCAATGCTGTGGGATGGAGCAGCAGCCACGGTGTCGGCACAGCCCCAAACGTAGGGGGGGAGGTTGGCTCTGAAATTCTCTCTGACCCCTCCCCCCATCCCACCGTGTGCCATCGGGTGATGGGTGCTACGATGGGTGCTGGGGGCCGTGGGGGTGCCACAGTGGGTCCTGGCAGGGGGCTGGGGGCCATTGGGGGTCCCAGGTGTCACCGTGGGTGCCAGGTGCCACAGGGCTTCCAGCTACCGCAGGGGTCCCTGGTGACACCGAAGGTCCCAGGTGACACAGGGGGGTCTTGGGTACCAAAGGGGTGCCGGTACCACGAGGGTCCCCATGTACCAAGGGGATGCCATGTACCATGGGGGTCCCAGGTGACACAGGGGTCCTGGGTGACGTGGGGGTCCCACGTGCCATAGGGATGCCATATACCATGGGGGTCCCAGGTGACATGGGGGTCCCAAGTACCATGAGCATCCTGGGTGCCATGGGGGTCCTGGGTGACACAAGAGGTTTTGGGTCCCACGGCACTGTGGCACAGGGAGCACTCCCAGCCCACGGCCCCATGCACCCCACGCAGCCCAGGCGTGGGGACACAAGCGGTGACGGGGACACCGTGTGCCAGCGGGGCGGGGGGGAGGGGAGACACCTCCCTCCCCAAGAGCAGCCGGGGGGGGGGAGGACAGGGACAGGCAAAGAGGTGGACAGGCAGACAGGTGGGGGGGTCCCATGCGTGCGATGCCATTCCCGAGGAGGGACCCCGAGCCTGGAGGGGGAGGAAGAGGAGGAAAAGGAGGAGAAGGAGGAGTGGGGTGGGGGGGGACCAGAGGCAAGCGGGCGGCACGGGGGGGACCGTGCGGCGTCTACCTTGTTCCACCAGCCCCAGGGGGGCCGCGGCGGCCGACATGGAGGGAGGCGCGGTGGTCTGTCTGCCCACTGCGGGGCGGGCAGCGAGAGGAGAGAAAGGAAGCGACCCCGTTAGGTGGGCACGGGGCGGGAGCCCCTGCTGGGGGTGACCCCCACGTCGCCTCCTGGGTTCCCCCCCCCAGACCCGTTACCGCACGGCGCGGCCGTCCTCGCGTCAAAATGGGGTTGGGGGAGTTTGGAGGGAGGGGGGAAAGAGAGAAAGAGAGCGGCAGCGAGCGGGGCCAGGCCCGGGGACGCGGGGGGGTGGTGAGGCGTCCCGGGGCCGGGAGGGGGGGGGCTCACCTGAGAAGTTCCGGGTGGCCAGCATGGTGGTGAGGATCGCGCCCTGCAATGGCAGCGGGTCAGCGCGGCACCGCGTGGCACCGGAACACGGGGGGCATTGGGACAGGGAGGTAACGGGATAGGGGAGTAGCAGCGGGGTGAGAGGGTGGCAATGGGATACGGGGGTGGCATTGGGATATGGCTGGGAAGGCACAGGGACAGCCCAGGACACCACTGGGGGACAGGGGAGGACTGTAACAAAGCCAGGTGACACTGTGACATGGTCAGGGTGACACCGCAGCACAGACAGGACACAGCTGTGGTGGCAGTGTGGGACACGGGGCAGCACCAGGACATGGGTGGGATGGGGCCGGGGACAAAATCGGGTACTGGGACATCCCAAAAGGGCACTGTGGGACGCAGTGGAGCAAAGGGACGTGGCCAGGGAGGGAGTGGGGAATAAAGCCCTGGGATGTGGCTGCAGTCGGACCGGGACATCCTGGGATGGGATCGGGGAGATGGGACAGCGCCAGGGTGGGACTGAGGGACGTGGGAAGGTGTGGGGACATGGCCATGGCAGGATGGGGACATGGCTGTGATGGAATGGAGCCGTGGTCATAATGGGATGGGGACGCAGCCGTGGTGGGAAGAGGACATGGCTGCGGTGGGACTGTGGGGACGCAGCAGGCTGGGAACGGGATGTGCTGGGATGGGACCCCAACCCACCTTCAGCTTCCTGCGGGCGTTGAACTTCTTCAGGCACTCCACCGTCTCCTGTCTGTGCATCATGGAGGCCACGGTGGAGCGTTGCTGCGGGGACAGCGGGGTCAGCAGGGAGCGCATCCCACAGGGACGGTGTGGGGCGGGGGCGGGGGGGGCACACTTACGCAGACCCACGGGTGTTTGAGGGCCTCGTGGGCGGTGATGCGCTTGGCGGGGTTGATGGTCAGCATCTGGTTGATGAGGTTCTTGGCTTCGGGGGTGACCGTGTCCCACTCGGGGGAGGGGAACTGCGGGGACACAGCGGGACGGGGCGGGGAGGGGGCGGCTGCGACCCTCTGTCCCCGTGGGGGGGTCCGGGGGTAACGGCGCACTCACGTCGTAGGCGCCCGCCTTGATCTGCTGGTACAGCTTGTGCTGGTCCTCGTCCCAGAAGGGCGGGTATCCCACCAGCAGGATGTATAGGATCACCCCTGTGCCACACTGACATCAGCCTGACTGGCACTGGGGGGCAGGGATGGGGGGTGGGATGGGAGCAGTGGGGATTGGGATGGGGACTGGGAGGGGGGGTCAGTAAAGATTGCAATGGGATCAGCGTGGGGACTGGGATGGAACCAGTATGGGAACTGGGATGGTGGTCAATATGGAGACAGGGGTGGGCATCAGTATAAACTGGAATGAGATCGGTATGGGAACTGGGATGGGAACCAGTATAAACCACAACAGGACCAGAATAAACTAATGGGATCAGTGTGGGGACCAGGACTGGGACCAGTGTGCAGACTGGGAAAGGGACTGGGATGGGAGTCAGTGAGGACTGGGATTGGGGATTGGGATGGGAGGTTGGTGGGGATGGGGATCAGTGCAGACTGGAATGGAACCAGTATGGGGACTGGGGAGGGGAACAGTATAAACTGCAATGGGAGCGGTGTGAGGACTGGGATGGGGACCACGATGGGACCGGGGTGGGAATCCCTCTGGGGACATGGGTGGGGACCGGGATAAAGACTGTGATGGGGACCAGTACAGATTGGAACGGGTCCAGTATGGGGACTGGGATGGAACCAGTGTGGGATCAGGATGGGGATCAGAATAAACTGGAATAGGATGAGCAAGGGGATCGGGATGGAACCAGAATGGGGACGGAGACGGGAAGGGGACCGGGATGGAATGGATTGGAACGGGGACAGGACGGAGGGGATGAGAGTGGGGACAGGAGGGATGGGGACGGGACGGAGGCTATGGGGACAGGTGGGGGTCCCAGGGTCAGGCCGGGGGTCCCGCAGCGCCCTTACCACAGGCCCAGATGTCCACGGGTTTGCCGTAGGCCTCCTTGCGCAGCACCTCGGGGGACAGGTAGCCGGGCGTGCCGGCGAAGCCTGGCGGGGGCAGGGGCTGAGCGGGGGGCTGGGGCTGCGGGGGGGGCTTTGGGAGGGGGTCACTCACCGAACCAGGCCTGCTGATCGCCCTGCACCTCGATGGCCAGCCCAAAGTCGGCCAGCTTCACTGCCGCGCCCTTGCACTTGCTGGCCAGCAGGAGGTTCTCCGGCTGCAGGGAGGGATGGGGGATGGCCCCACATCGTCACCCCACAACATCACATCACATCACCACTCCACATCACCGCCCCATGGCCAGCGTGTGTAGGGCAGGTTGCCCCCCTACCCCCAGAGATGCAGACCCGAAGGACGCAGAGGAACGGAGGGGGGTGCGCTCACCTTGAGGTCTCTGTGCACGACCCCCATTTGGTGACAGTGCAGGACGGCCTCCAGGATCTGCTGGATGCAGTGGCTGCGGGCAAACAGCCCAGGGGTCAGCAGGCACTGCCAGCCCCAGACCCACCCCACTGTGGGGGCACAGCGACGCCCAACCCCGACCCTAACCCTGAGCCTAACCCTGACCCCAAACCATAGCCCTAACCCTGAGCCTAACCCCAAACCCTTATTCTTTTACCCGACCCCTAACCCTAAAGCCTAAATGCAAATCACAACCCTAGCCCCAAACCCCAATTCAAACCTTGACCCCTTTACCCTGACCCTAACTCTAAACCATTACCTTAACACTGACCCTGCATCCTGACCCCAAATCATAACCCTAACCCTGACCCCAAACTATAAGCCTAGCCCTCATCCTAAACTTAAACTCTGACCCCAAACCATAACCCTAATCTTCACACCAACCCTGTATCATGATCCTACCCCAAATCCTGACCCTACCCAAATCCTGACCCAAACCAACCTTAACCTTTACCCTAACCCTGACCTTATCCCTAAACCAGGACCCGTAGCCCCGACCCCATACCCTGACCTCAAACCCTCACCCTAACCCTGACGCTAACCCCAAACCCTGACCCAAACCCACTCAGCCCCACTGTGCTGCACACATGGGCACTCCCCATCGTGCCCCAAGGAGAGCTGGGGGTGGGGAAGTTGGGGGGGGGATGGGACACCGGGTGCCACTGTGCGCCCCCCCCATTGCTGGGGACCCCCAGACAGGACGGACAGGGAGCAGGAGGGCGATGAGACGAGACAAGAGAGGGAGGAGCGGGAGATGAGAGCTGAAATGGGGGTGAATGGGGCACCGGGGTGTGGGGGGGGGAATGGGGGGCGACCTCCCCACAGTTTATAATTTTTGTGGTTTTTTTTAATTATTACTTTTGGAGGGGGAGTGGGGAGGGGCCAAAAAAAGTGTTTTTTTAATTTTTTTTTTCTTTTTTTTTTTAAGGGGGAAATTGGAGAAAGGAGGAGGAAGCCCCAAAGTGGGGGTGCGGCGAGGGGAGCGCGAGGCTCCGGCTGGGTGGGGGGCACAGCCCCCCCCGGACCCCCTCCCCATTTATACTGACCTGCAGCTGCCTGTGCGCAAAGGCAAAGTGATGGGTGTGAGAAACGCGTGCTAATAGCTCATGGACACAGTGACTGCAAAACAAAACGGGGGGCGGGGGGCAGCGGGATGGGGCGAGATGGGGGCCACGGGGTGGGGTGGGTGGGGGCAGGTTTGGGGGTGAGGGGGCAGGTTAGGGCACGGGGGGCAGGTTTGGGGTTATAGAATAGGTATGGGGGTGGGTTAGGGCATGTGGGGCAGGTAGGGGGTGATGGGGCAGACTGGGGGGAAGTATGGGATCAAGGGGGCAGGGGAGCAGGTTAGGGGTTATAAAGTCGGTATGGGGCAGGTTTAAGGGGCAGGAGGCAAGTGAGGAGGGCAGGGATGGGGTTGAAGGGAGTCAGGGGGCAGGGATGGGGAGATGGATTGGGTTTAAAGGGAGGGAGGTAGGGGTGGTAGGTATAGGGTTGAGAGGGGCGGGGGGCAGATGGGGGGGTGTGAGGCAGGGCCGGGGGTATGGAGCAGTTATGGGAGCAGGTTAGGTTATGGGGCAGGCAGGGGGTTAGCAGGGCAGGTGACAGATTATGGGGCAGGCGGGGGGGAAAGGAGCAGGTATAGGGTTGGGGGGCAGTGAGGCGTGTGGGAATAAGGGATTGAAGGAGGCAAAACATGGGGAAGGGGGAGCCGGGGGGGTGGAGGGCGTGGGGAGCAGCGAGCGGAGGGGCAGCGGTGGGACAGACAGAGAGACACATGGACGGACACACGGACACGCACAGAGCGACGCGTGATGGGAGACGGGGGGAGGGGGTAAAGGGGAGGGGGACAAAGGAACGGGGACGGGGTCA